GCAGGGGGGTTTGGCAAAATGTGAACCACCGCCGCTTTCAGTAATTGGGAGATTTTTGGTATAAAAAGTAGGAATTTCAAACTGCGAATAGGTGCAGAGAGCCAGAAATTGGGTCCAAAATATGGCTCGGGTATCGAATTTGGGATGTTTGGAATATTTTGAAAACTGCAGGGGGGTTTGGGCAAAATGTGACATACCGCTGGTGTCAGTAACTGGCATATTTTCGGTATAAAAAGTCGGAAATTCTAACTGCGAATAGGTGCAGAGAGCCAGAATTTGGGTCCAAAATATGGCTTAGGTATCGAATTTGGGATGTTTGGGATATTTTGAAAACTGCAGGAGGGTTTGGGCAAAATGTGACCCACCGCCGCTATCAGTAATTGCTAGATTTTTGGTATAAAAAGTAGGAATTTCAAACTGCGAATAGGTGCAGAGAGCCAGAATTTGGTCCAAAATATGGCTCAGGTATCGATTTTGGGATGTTTGGGATATTTTGAAAACTGCAGGGGGGTTTGGGCAAAATGTGATCCACCGTCGCTTTCAGTAATTGGCTTATTTTTGTTATAAAAAGTCGGAATTTCAAACTGCGAATAGGTGCAGAGAGCTAGAATTTGGGTCTAAAATATGACTCAAGTATCGAATTTGGGATGTTTGGGATATTTTGAAAACTGCAGGGGGGGGTTTGGGCAAAATGTGATCCACCGCCACTTTTACTAATTGGCAGATTTTTGGTATAAAAAGTCGGAATTTCAAACTGCGAATAGGTGCAGAGAGCCAGAATTTGGGTCTATAATGTGGCTCAGGTATCGAATTTGGGATGTTTGGGATATTTTGAATACTGCAGGGGGGTTTGGGCAAAATGTGACCCACCGCCGCTTTCAGTAATTGGCTTATTTTTGTTATAAAAAGTCGGAATTTCAAACTGCGAATAGATGCAGAGAGCGAGAATTTAGGTGCAAAATATGGCTCAGGAATTGAATTTGGGATGTTTGGGATATTTTGAAAACTGCAGGGGGGGGAGGGGGTTTGGGCAAAATGTGACACACCGCCGCTTTCAGTAACTGGCATATTTTCAGTATAAAAAGTCGGAATTTCTAACTGCGAATAGGTGCAGAGAGCCAGAATCTGGGTCAAAAATATGGCTCAGGTATCGAATTTGGGGTTTGGAATATTTTGAAAACTGCAGGGGGGTTTGGGCAAAATGTGACATACCGCTGGTATCAGTAACTGGCATATTTTCGGTATAAAAAGTCGGAATTTCTAACTGCGAATAGGTGCAGAGAGCCAGAATTTGGTTCCAAAATATGGCTTAGGTATCGAATTTGGGATGTTTGGGATATTTTGAAAACTGCAGGGGGGTTTGGGCAAAATGTGACCCACTGCCGCTTTCAGTAATTGGCATATTTTTGGTATAAAATTCCGAATTTCAAACTGCGAATAGGTGCTGAGAGCCAGAATTTGGGTCCAAAATATGGCTCAGTTATCGAATTTGGGATGTTTGGGATATTTTGAAAACTGCAGGGGTGTTTGGGCAAAATGTGTCCCACCGTCGCTCTCAGTCATTGGCTTATTTTTGTTATAAAAAGTCGGAATATCAAACTGCGAATAGGTGCAGAGAGCCAGAATTTGGGTCCAAAATATGGCTCAGGTATCGAATTTGGGATGTTTGGGATATTTTGAAAACTGCAGGGGTGTTTGGGCAAAATGTGACCCACCGTCGCTTTCAGTAATTGGCTTATTTTTGTTATAAAAAGTCGGAATTTCAAACTGCGAATAGGTGCAGAGAGCCAGAATTTGGGTCTAAAATATGGCTCAGGTATCGAATTTGGGATGTTTGGGATATTTTGAAAACTGCAGAGGGGTTTTGGCAAAATGTGATCCACCGCCGCTTTCAGTAATTGGCATATTTTCGGTATAAAAAGTCGGATTTTCAAACTGCGAATAGGTGCAGAGAGCCAGAATTTGGGTCCAAAATATGGCTCAGGTATCGAATTTGGGATGTTTGGGATATGTTGAAAACTGCAGGGGGGTTTGGGCAAAATGTGACCCACCGTCGCTTTCAGTAATTGGCTTATTTTTGCTATAAAAAGTCGGAATTTCAAACTGCGAATAGGTGCAGAGAGCCAGAATTTGGGTCTAAAATATGGCTCAGGTATCGAATTTGGGATGTTTGGGATATTTTGAAAACTGCAGAGGGGTTTTGGCAAAATGTGACCCACGGCCGCTTTCAGTAATTGGAATATTTTCGGTATAAAAAGTCGGAATTTCAAACTGCGAATAGGTGCAGAGAGCCAGAGTTTGGGTCCAAAATATGGCTCAGGTATCGAATTTGGGATGTTTGGAATATTTTGAAAACTGCAGGAGGGTTTGGGCAAAATGTGACATACCGCTGGTATCAGTAACTGGCATATTTTCGGTATAAAAAGTCGGAAATTCTAACTGCGAATAGGTGCAGAGAGCCAGAATTTGGGTCCAAAATATGGCTTAGGTATCGAATTTGGGATGTTTGGGATATTTTGAAAACTGCAGGGGTGTTTGGGCAAAATGTGACCCACCGCCGCTATCAGTAATTGCCAGATTTTTGGTATATAAAGTAGGAATTTCAAACTGTGAATAGGTGCAGAGAGCCAGAATTTGGGTCCAAAATATGGCTCAGGTATCGATTTTGGGATGTTTGGGATATTTTGAAAACTGCAGGGGGGTTTGTGCAAAATGTGATCCACCGTCGCTTTCAGTAATTGGCTTATTTTTGTTATAGAAAGTCGGAATTTCAAACTGCGAATAGGTGCAGAGAGCTAGAATTTGGGTCTAAAATATGGCTCAGGTATCAAATTTGGGATGTTTGGAATATTTTGAAAACTGCAGGGGGGTTTGGGCAAAATGTGACCCACCGCCGCTATCAGTAATTGCCAGATTTTTGGTATATAAAGTAGGAATTTCAAACTGTGAATAGGTGCAGAGAGCCAGAATTTGGGTCCAAAATATGGCTCAGGTATCGATTTTGGGATGTTTGGGATATTTTGAAAACTGCAGGGGGGTTTGTGCAAAATGTGATCCACCGTCGCTTTCAGTAATTGGCTTATTTTTGTTATAGAAAGTCGGAATTTCAAACTGCGAATAGGTGCAGAGAGCTAGAATTTGGGTCTAAAATATGGCTCAGGTATCAAATTTGGGATGTTTGGAATATTTTGAAAACTGCAGGGGGGTTTGGGCAAAATGTGACCCACCGCCGCTTTTAGTAATTGGCAGATTTTTGGTATAAAAAGTCGGAATTTCAAACTGCGAATAGGTGCAGAGAGCCAGAATTTGGATCCAAAATATGGCCCAGGTATCGAATTTGTGATGTTTGGGATATTTTAAAAACTGCAGGGGGGTTTGGGCAAAATGTGTTACACCGCTGGTATCAGTAACTGGCATATTTTCGGTATAAATCGGATTATGAAAATGCAAATAGGTGCAGAGAGTCAGAAATCGGCTCAAAAATCACGCGGAGGGAGAGTGGGGGAGAGTGATGGAGTATGGAGGAGAGTGGAAGAGGTCACGTGAACGTCCCTTGAGTCCTCTGGAGGTCCCTGGGGGCTCTTGGATGTCCCCTAAAGGTCCCTAAAGTTCCACCAAAGGTGGTTCAGAGACCATCAGAGGGATTCAGTGGGCATCAGAGAGGGTTTTGTGGCCACCAGGGATTTTTTGTAGCCACCAGAGGGGTTCAGTGGCCAGGAGAACCCCTCTGGTGGCCACAGAACCTCTGATGGGCTCTGGGCCACGTGGTTTACAATAATATCTCAAGAGTATACACCAACATGTAATTTACGACCGAAATATAAGTCATGCAAACGTGAAATTCATTTGCTAATGTACAGGAATTTTCATGTTGTAATAGAACCGAAGCAAAAATACAGTAGCGTTGCCTTGCCGTATTTGTAAATGTCCTGTTGCATGCAACGCGATGTTGATGTGTGCATTATAATATGCGTGTTATAGATTTTGTAACAGTGTTTCCTAGTGTTATAGACCAAGGACAAGCGTATTATATGAGGAAAATTTAGTAATGTTTGATATTAGGGATCACAAGCACAGATGTTTGGTGAGGGGACGAGGGAGTAGGGGATGATAGGGAGGACTGAGGGGAGGAAGGGGCTGAAGAGGATGGGAAATAGGGAGGATTGGATCTTGAAGGGCATTAGGTGAAAGCCTTTTATCACTGGTTCGTGTCCCACACTGCTTCCCTGTTTAGTAGTGTGGGAAAAGAAAGGGTTTGGGGTGTGGAAAAGTGACATGGAATAGGAGGAAAGGGAGAAGGGGTGGCTTATTACGTGTCTGTAGTCACTTGTGCATTAGTGGGTAATTCTAAGTCACTCCCTAAGACACTCACATGAAGGGTCTGGGGGAGTGTAGCGTGGTCAAGACCCGATACACACACGCACACAGTATCTTGGGTCTCCTCTCTTTCCTCCTGGTGGCTTGGGTCTCCTCTTCTTCCTCCTGGTGGCTTGGATCTCCTCTTCTTCTTCCTGGTGGCTTGGGTCTCCTCTCTTTCCTCCTGGTGGCTTGGGTCTCCTCTTCTTCCTCCTGGTGGCTTGGATCTCCTCTTCTTCCTCCTGGTGGCTTGGGTCTCCTCTCTTTCCTCCTGGTGGCTTGGGTCTCATCTCCTTCCACCTGGTGGCTTGGGTCTCCTCTTCTTTCACCTGGTGGCTTGGGTCTCCTCTTCTTCCTCCTGGTGGCTTGGGTCTCCTCTTCTTCCACCTGGTGGCTTGGGTCTCCTCTCCTTCCACCTGGTGGCTTGGGTCTCCTCTCTTTCCTCCTGGTGGCTTGGGTCTCCTCTCTTTCCTCCTGGTGGCTTGGATCTCCTCTTCTTCCTCCTGGTGGCTTGGGTCTCCTCTCTTTCCAAATGGTGGTTTGTTCTTTCTCTTCTTCCTCCTGGTGGCTTGGATCTCCTCTTCTTCCTCCTGGTGGCTTGGGTCTCCTCTTCTTCCTCCTGGTGGCTTGGGTCTCCTCTTCTTTCACCTGGTGGCTTGGGTCTCCTCTTCTTCCTCCTGGTGGCTTGGGTCTCCTCTTCCTCCTGGTGGCTTGGGTCTCCTCTCCTTCCACCTGGTGGCTTGGATCTCTTTTTCCACCTGGTGGCTTGGATCTCTTCTTCCTCCTTGTGGCTTGGGTCTCCTCTCCTTCCACCTGGTGGCTTGGATCTCTTCTTCCTCCTGGTGGCTTGGGTCTCCTCTCCTTCCACCTGGTGGCTTGGGTCTCCTCTTCTTCCTCCTGGTGGCTTGGATCTCTTCTTCCACCTGGTGGCTTGGGTCTCCTCTCCTTCCACCTGGTGGCTTGGATCTCTTCTTCCACCTGGTGGCTTGGATCTCTTCTTCCTCCTGGTGGCTTGGGTCTCTTCCTCCTGGTGGCTTGGATCTCTTCTTCCACCTGGTGGCTTGGGTCTCCTCTCCTTCCACCTGGTGGCTTGGATCTCTTCTTCCACCTGGTGGCTTGGATCTCTTCTTCCACCTGGTGGCTTGGATCTCTTCTTCCTCCTGGTGGCTTGGGTCTCCTCTCCTTCCACCTGGTGGCTTGGATCTCTTCTTCCTCCTGGTGGCTTGGGTCTCGTCTCCTTCCTCCTGGTGGCTTGGATTTCTTCTTCCACCTGGTGGCTTGGGTCTCCTCTCCTTCCACCTGGTGGCTTGGATCTCTTCCTCCACCTGGTGGCTTGGATCTCTTCTTCCTCCTGGTGGCTTGGGTCTCCTTCTTCCTCCTGGTGGCTTGGATCTCCTCTTCTTCCTCCTGGTGGCTTGGGTCTCCTCTCCTTCCTCCTGGTGGCTTGGGTCTCTTCTTCCACCTGGTGGCTTGGATCTCCTCTCTTTGCTCCTGGTGGCTTGGGTCTCCTCTTCTTCCATCTGGTGGCTTGGGTCTCCTCTTCTTCCACCTGGTGGCTTGGATCTCCTCTTCTTCCTCCTGGTGGCTTGGGTCTCCTCCTCTTCCACCTGGTGGCTTGGGTCTCCTCTTCTTCCACCTGGTGGCTTGGGTCTCCTCTCCTTCCACCTGGTGGCTTGGTTTCCACGACCCTCAGCCACTAAGACTGCAAGATGAATAATACATGGAAACACCGTTTATATCACCAATTGTCCCTGACCCCCCTTAAAGCAGTGCGTAAATGCGCGTACGTGTTTCAGTAAATTGTAAGTCATTTACACGCACCTCTGTCACGCCATTGTACCTACAGGTTTACAAGTACATGAAAGGTATAAATGTCATACGAAAGATACGTTTTTGGCATAGGATCGTATTTAAGGGTTCATTGAAAAAACTATTACCTTTTATGTACTGAACCAAAGGTCTATCATGGCTATATCCTACGAATGAGGCGCTTTGTTTGTTGGTGATTAACGAAACGAGATATGTAGAGGAATAAGTGACACACACACACACACAGACACTCTCTCACACACATACTCTCTCACACACATACTCTCTCACACACAGACACACTCTCACACAGACACACACACTCACACAGACGCTCTCTCTCACACAGACACTCTCTCACACACACAGTGTCTGTGTGTGTGAGAGAGTGTCTGTGTGAGAGAGAGTCTCTCTCTCTCACACACACACATACTCTCTCACACACAGACTCTCTCTCACACAATCTCTCTCACACAATCTCTCTCTCACACAGACACTCTCTCACAGACACTCTCACACACACACATACTCTCTCACACACACACACACACATACTCTCTCACACACACACACACATACTCTCTCACACACACACACACCCTCACACACATACTCTCTCACACACAGACACACTGTGTGAGAGATTGTCTGTGTGACAGACACTCTCTCTCACACAGACACACCCTAACACACAGACTCTCTCACACGGACACGCTCTCACTCTCTCTCACACATACTCTCTCTCACAGACACACCCTCTCACACAGACACACACTGTGTGAGAGTGAGTGTGTACACTACTAGTTACTCCAACTAACAATGATGCCCCCAGAACTGTCCTAAGCCCAATTACAACTAGGAGAACAGAGGCATGAGGTAAAAGGATTGGTCCCTCACAATATGTCAATGCTAATACAGAAATTTGAAATCGAAACTTCAGGCCGAAATTATCTAATAGTCCACATCTGAAAATAAATTTCTATTAAAAACTATTAAAACTACGTTAAAATTATTTTTGTTTAAGAGGATAGGTTTTAGAAATACATAATTTTTTCCACAATCATTATAGTCCTTCGCATCGCCAATCTTAGAGTTATATATATATATATATAATAATATATATATATATATATATATATATATATATATATATATATATATATATATATATATATATATATATATATATATATATATATATATATATATATATATATATATATATATATATATATATATATATATATATATATATATATATATATATATATATATATATATATATATATATATATATATATATATATATATATATATATATATATATATATATATATATATATATATATATATATATATATATATATATATATATATATATATATATATATATATGCAAACAAGCCTGAATGGTCCCCAGGACTATATACAACTGAAAACTCACACCCCAGAAGTGACTCGAACCCATACTCCCACAACTGGTATGTACAGGGACGCCTTAATCCGCTTGACCATCACGACCGGACATAAGGAAGTGATAGCCGTGGCTATATGAACCACTTCCCCGCCGGCACTCGGATGGTAATCTTGGGCATAGCATTTTATCAAATCACCTCATTCTTTGGGGCACACGTGAGGAACACAAATGCAAACAAGCCTGAATGGTCCCCAGGACTATATACAACTGAAAACTCACACCCCAGAAGTGACTCGAACCCATACTCCCACAACTGGTATGTACAGGGACGCCTTAATCCGCTTGACCATCACGACCGGACATAAGGAAGTGATAGCCGAGGCTATATGAACCACTTCCCCGCCGGCACTCGGATGGTAATCTTGGGCATAGCATTTTATCAAATCACCTCATTCTTTGGGGCACACGTGAGGAACACAAATGCAAACAAGCCTGAATGGTCCCCAGGACTATATACAACTGAAAACTCACACCAACAATTGTATATAGTCCTGGGGACCATTCAGGCTTGTTTGCATTTGTGTTCCTCACGTGTGCCCCAAAGAATGAGGTGATTTGATAAAATGCTATGCCCAAGATTACCATCCGAGTGCCGGCGGGGAAGTGGTTCATATAGCCTCGGCTATCACTTCCTTATGTCCGGTCGTGATGGTCAAGCGGATTAAGGCGTCCCTGTACATACCAGTTGTGGGAGTATGGGTTCGAGTCACTTCTGGGGTGTGAGTTTTCAGTTGTATATAGTCCTGGGGACCATTCAGGCTTGTTTGCATTTGTGTTCCTCACGTGTGCCCCAAAGAATGAGGTGATTTGATAAAATGCTATGCCCAAGATTACCATCCGAGTGCCGGCGGGGAAGTGGTTCATATAGCCTCGGCTATCACTTCCTTATGTCCGGTCGTGATGGTCAAGCGGATTAAGGCGTCCCTGTACATACCAGTTGTGGGAGTATGGGTTCGAGTCACTTCTGGGGTGTGAGTTTTCAGTTATATATATATATATATAATATATATATATATAATATATAATATATTAGTATATTTTGGTAGCAGTCTTTCCTGTAGACATATATTATTAAATATGACCGAAAAAGTAAGATTAATAATTCTAACACGTATTTTCTCAATCTTTCGTACATTTCTTTTAACTGTTGGTGGTAATTCAAGAATCAATTCTCCAAAATTCATTTTTATTTCTAGTCTGACGCGACACTTGAGCGCATTTCGTAAAACTTATTACATTTTCAAAGACTTTAGTTTACACATACACAACTGAATAGAAGTTACTCAAATGTAGATATAAACAAATCGGAGATGTGTGAGGTGGTATTAAGTTCATCAACACAAGACAGAACACGAAACAATGGGTATTGAATGGAAGTGATTGTAGAAAGCCTATTGGTCCATATTTCTTGATGCTTCTATATTGGAGCGGAGTCTTGAGGTGGGTAGAATATAGTTGTGCATTAATTGGCTGTTGATTGCGGGTGTTGACTTTTTAATGTGTAGTGCCTCGCAAACGTCAATCCGCCTGCTATCGATGATTTCTGTGTAGTTTACTAGGATTTTTCTGGCGATGGTTTGGTTGGTGTATATATATATATATATATATATATATATATATATATATATATATATATATATATATATATATATATATATGTCGTACCTAGTAGCCAGAACTCACTTCTGAGCCTACTATGCAAGGCCCGATTTGCCTAATAAGCCAAGTTTTCATGAATTAATTGCTTTTCGACTACCTAACCTACCTAACCTAACCTAACTTTTTCGGCTACCTAACCTAACCTAACCTATAAAGATAGGTTAGGTTAGGTTAGGTAGGGTTGGTTAGGTTCAGTCATATATCTACGTTAATTTTAACTTCAATAAAAAAAAATTGACCTCTTACATAATGAAATGGGTTGCTTTATCATTTCATAAGAAAAAAATTAGAGAAAATATATTAATTCAGGAAAACTTGGCTTATTAGGCAAATCGGGCCTTGCATTGTAGGCTGAAAAGTGAGTTCTGGCTACTAGGTACGACATATATATATATAATATATATATATATATATATAATATATATATGTTTATATATATATATATATAATATATATATTTTATATATATATATATATATATATATATATATATATATATATATATATATATATATATATATATACATTGGCTCTGCACGAGATAGGTGTTACCAAATTACTCAACTGTAAATATGGTTTAGATTGTTTAGGGAAATACTTATGAGCACCAGTGTGTAAACCTACAGTGGTACTAGGTAGGGGTACTAGGGGTAGGGTACAGTGGTACTAGGTAGGGGTACTAGGGGTAGGGGTACAGTGGTACTAGGTAGGGGTTACAATGGTAGCAGGTGTTTAATCATTTCCCACAATTCATGGTAAGTTACTCTACCAGTTTTCCAATGAAAAAATGACCCGCCAATCTGTTAAAAATCAGGTCCCAATTTACTGTTGAGTGAATAGGGGCGAACTGTTTAATATCTTTGTCCACTTGACAGAACCCGGGGGATATTTTCTGGTATCTTAATCCTTTTTTGAAACTGCTGCGGTCAAGTATTACTGTGCAACACTTTTTAACACAGATTTGTCTCCACAATTTACAGTGTTGGTGCATTCTCCTATCTGGTGTGGTCGATACCTGGCGGCTCAGTAAATTTTTATTGGAAACCAGCAACCATTGGAACCAACCAGCAGTAGATCCAGCAACCAGTGGCACCAACCGGCAGTAGAACCAGCAACCAGTGGCACCAACCAGCAGTAGAACCAGCCACCAGTGGCACCAACCGGCAGTAGAACCAGCAACCAGTGGCACCAACCGGCAGTAGAACCAGCTACCAGTGGTACCAACCAGCAGTAGAACCAGCAACCAGTGGTACCAACCGGCAGTAGAACCAGCAACCAGTGGCACCAACCGGCAGTAGAACCAGCCACCCGTGTTGTAATCCACAAGTTAGTAGGAATTATTAGCTAGAGGATCATTACTACAACACTTAACGAATGATGATTGGAAGTACATGTTAAGTAGACAGACTATGGATCACATATCTAAGAAAGGTCAATGGATTAAGGGGAGGGCCATGGAGATTTTTAGTGGGTGCAGGTAGCATTATGGAGTGTTACCTTGGGACACGGGGAGCGTGTTCCGTTGGTGGGGGTGTGTGTGGCGCCGGGAGTAGTGCATGGTTGTGTATTAGTGTTTGTACGCCGGGGTGTGTAGTGTAATGCACGTGTAGTGGCTTATTAAACGCCAGCGTAATGCATAGTATCTACTGTAGTGAAATGTGCATGTTTTGACTGTTGATATTATGGATGTAGTATAGTGCATGACATTGTTGGCATTGTAGCGCCAAGGTGTAGCATGTGTAGCATAACTGGTTGTTGTAACACCGGGTGTATTGTAGACATTAGCGTTGAAGTATGTTAACGCAGGTGGTAAAGTGTGGCGGGTGGCCACTACACAAGAAATTATGCCTGACGAAGAATAATTCCTCCTTCCAGGAATTATTAATTTGGCTAAACAGCTTCGGTCTTAATCCATTGACCTTTCTTAGATATGTGATCCATAGTCTGTCTACTTAACATGTACTTCCAATCATCATTCGTTAAGTGTTGTAGTAATGATCCTCTAGCTAATAATTCCTACTAACTTGTGGATTACAACACCAGTGGCACCAACCGGCAGTAGAACCAGCAACCAGTGGTACCAACCAGCAGTAGAACCAGCAACCAGTGGTACCAACCAGCAGTAGAACCAGCCACCAGTGGTACCAACCAGCAGTAGAACCAGCCACCAGTGGCACCAACCAGTAGTAGAACCAGCAACCAGTGGTACCAACCAGCAGTAGAACCACCAACCAGTGGCACCAACCATTACCAGAACCTTCACCCCAACGGAACTTTGCAGTGGGCAAACGCCCCGTCATGACCCTTCCAGAGGAGTCGTATTAAGAGAGGGGGAGCCAGTCCACCTGTCTAACCTCTGACCTGTCTCTTCCCCCTCTCCCCTCCTGTCCCATGCCTCTCTTCGTCCTTCCGTCTCTTTGGTGACATAAACGGAAGGGAGGGAGTTGTCTTCCCCTCAAAGAATACCAATAGACTTGGAATGTCTGGCGTGGACCACACCAGCTGTTCTCGGAGGGTCATTTGGATCACACTTCAGCTTTCATCGGACAAATTCTTAACATTTCGGACAAAATGTGAGGAAGAACAAGAACTAATGTGGATACAAAGTTGTTTTAATCATTCAGATTCTCGACCCATAGACGAGAGAACTTCTCTGTACTAAACAATATCCAGGGTTATATGGACACGAGATCCTAATCATCAGTGATCTTAATAATAAGGATTGGAATGTATTTTCAGCTTCTAAGTGTTTGTGGGTCATATCATCTATCACGTTATGGACAGATATGGTTCAGACTTGTCTCTAACTCCATGACTTTCAAATGTTCCTTTAATTCTCGCATTCATCGGTTTCCTGTAAGTTAGTTTTCTAGCCTCACTAAGGATAAAGTACCTGTAATCCTTGCACTGTATCCATACTTTACTTCCAGTAGATAAACGACATAGGAGATTAAGAAGCAAGTAGTGTATTGTGAAGACTAATAAACAGCAGCTACCGTATGACCCTTTAATATCTCCATAGTTCAAACGATCATTAATTGGTGATAAGACCTACAAATAATTTATAATGATGAACTGTAAATATATAGCAATTGAAATAGAACATTCTCTGTAACTGACAATATAATTATAAGGTGTGAAGGATAGATGAAATTGTTTATCAGACCTCAACGGTGATTATTAGATTAAGACCTTTTGTGCCCTCTGTAATCGTTTTTGCGCTACCGCTCACAGGATGAGTATGGGGTGCACAATAAACTAGCCGCCTCTGGTGACAACAACAACAACAACTCTGCTCTCTTCCTTTAATTTTATTTTGAACTATATTCTCAAAGCTAAGTACACAGTGGGATAGGACTTGGTGGTGTCTGCTGGGATGTGTTGCCTACGCTTGCCCGAGTTTGTATTTAGTTGGCTGATGTTCCTATAATGTTTGCAGGTGGTTCTGGCGTTGAGGCAAGTGGGTTGTAAGCGTCCGCTATCACTACTCTGCCTCCAACCTGCTTCTACAGTCACTGTGATAATTTATATTTCCATTCGAGTCTGTAACTTCATGGAAATATCCCCTCCGATTTGACCACCAGTGTGACGCCTCTTCCATGCTTCAGTAAGTTATCTACTACCGCTCATTTGCTTATTTGTAGGTAAAATAATTATTTCTATCAAATACTAATTCTTATTTGTTCACTCACACACAGGGCGAAACTGGAGACAAGATTCACAGCCGAGAAGTTTGAGATACGAGGAAAGGATTCATGAATATAACCTGTTGGCCAGGTGAATGGTGATCAAGAGTTGGGGCCCAAGGAATATAGCTCAACCCTCACAAACACAACCACGCCTGTGTTCTCACCTATATATTTCATTAATTTAATATTGTACAGCTCTTTACCGACCAACCCATTCGACTGGACGGTAGAGCAACGGTCTCGCATTTTGCAGGTCGGCGTTCAATCCCCGACAGTCCCCGTGGTTGGGCACCATTTCACCCTTCTATCCTATCCCAAATCGTTATCTTGATATCCCTCCCAAGTGCTATATAGCCGTAATGGCTTAGCGCTTTCTCTTGTATATTTATTTTATTTATACAACTATTTTTACAGGACGTGCTACAGGACGTGCTACGGGACGTGCTACGGGACGTGCTACAAGACGTGCTAAAAGACGTGCTACAGGACAAAATCGCCGCGAACGAGTCTGAAGGTAGTTTGGTGGTCACGGAGTGGTGTCGAGAGCTTCAAGCACTGGTCGAGGGAATGTGACAAAAAATTGTCCTCCAATCAGGGTCACCGACTTCCCGTGACCGAAGTGAGGTCAGCCTGGGTCACCAAGTGTGAAGCAGTGTTGTTCTACCTTCTGGAGAGTCTTGTTCTACCTATATCAGTATGGAGCTACCAGACGATGTGTGTGTTCGCCGCACGCTGTAGGAAGCCTTGTTATATTTTGTGTTAGAGGAGAACAGTGTGTTTGTTCTATTAACCTTGGACACGTCTTCCCTAATGCCGTATATGTTTGTGGGAATGAACGAGCAGATGTGCTGGCTGCTGAAGGAGACCATATTGAATACTTCATACCCAAGACTCTACTACAAATTAGAGATATTGTCTGTCAAAACTGTATTGGTCCAAACATTCAGATCTGATAGGAAAGAACTTACCGACTCCCAACGACCTGAAAGTACTAGTATAAAAAGCTATGATTTGTTCAGATCTGAAACCTACATCTATGGACAGCACAAAACGTCCACTAGACTTTGCGACACAGTGGCTGCAAGGATCAGGTTGGGTTACCGTTACCTGTGGCAGGTGGCTGCAGGTGACGGGTCTCCCAATCCTGAGCACTCCAGTT